CTCTTATTCCCTCCCTTATTTTTAACTGGGATCTTTTTCCAATTGCCTTAAAATACATATAATTAACTCTCTGTTACATAGAGAGTTCAGCATTTAGTATGAAGTAGAGAAGTGAGAGAGAAAGAAATAAAACAGAAAAAACTGACAAAACAAAACAAAAAGGATATACACAGTAAAAGTAACAATGGTAAACTGCCTCTCGACAATCAGGTCAAGGGTTCTTGAAGACATTGGTTCTAAAAGGGACAATTTTGCTTCTACAGCTTTCATTTTATCTGCACTATTAATTCTCCCAATTCAGGGAGAACATATGGTGTTTGTCTCTTTGGGACAAAGATCATACTCACTAAGTATGAGGTTTTCCAGCTTGCTCCATTCTGTTGCAAAGGACCGGATTTCATCCTTTTTTACTGCTGTATAGGATTCCACAGTGTACATATCCCACAATTTCTTTACCCAGTCTTCGTTTGATGGACATTTAGGCTGCTTCCATGTCTTAGCTATTGTGAATTGAGCTGCAATAAACATGGAGGTGCAGATAGTACTTTTATTTACTGATTTCATTTCCCTTGGGTAAATTCCCAGGAGTGGGAAGGCTGGGTCATATGGTAGGTCTATATTCAGATTTTTGAGGTATCTCCATACTGTTTTCTACAGTGGCCTTACCAGTTTACCTTCCCACCAACAGTGGGTTAGGGTGCCCTTTTCCCCACATCTTCTCTAGCATTTGTCATTTGTTGATTTCTGTATGAGGGCCACTCTAACTCAGGTGAGGTGAAATCTCATTGTGCTTTTGATTTGCATTTCCCTGATGGCTAGAGATCCTGAACATTTTTTCATGTGTCTATTGGCCATTTGGACTTCCTCTTTTGAAAAATGCCTGTTAAAATCCTTGGCCCATCATTTTATTGGGTTGTTTTGTTACTGTGGAGTTTCTTGATCATCTTATAGATTCTGGTTATTAATCCTTTTTCAGTTGTATAGTTTGCAAATAATTTGTGTAGTTGCAAATAAAAAACTCTGTTGGTTGCCTCTTCACTTTCCTAACTGTTTCTTTTGCTGTAAAGAAACTTCCCAATTTGAGGTAATCCATTTGTTCATTTTGGCTTTGACTACCTATGCCTCTGGGGTCTTTTCCAGGAATTCTTTGCCTGTTCCAATGTCTTGAAGTGTTTCCCCTATGATCTCTATTAATTTGATGGTATTGTGGCATAGATTTAGATCTTTAATCCATGTTGAGTGGCTTTCTGTATATGTTGTAAGGTAGGGGTCTTGCTTCATACTTTGACATGTGGAAATCCAGTTTTCCCAGCACTATTTGTTGAAGAGGCTGTCCCTGTTCCAAGGGTTGGTTTTAGCTCCTTTGTTGAATATGAGTTGGTTGTAGATGTTTGAATTGATTTCCAGTGTTTCTATTCTGTTCCATTTGTCTATCCGTCTGTTTTTGTACCAGTAACAGACTGTTTTGCTTAGAATTGCCCTGTAGTGTGTCTTGAAGTCTGGTATTGTCATGCCTCCAGCTTTATTTTTATTGTATAGAATTGTTTTAGCTATGTGAGGTCTCTTGTTCCTCCATATGAATTTCAGCATCAATTTTTCTAGGTCTGTGAGGAATGTCTTTGGTATTTTGATTGGTATAGCATTGAACCTGTAAATTGCTTTTGGAAGAATGGATATTTTGATGATATTGATTCTTCCAATCCATGAACATGGCAGATTTTTCCATTTTTTGTGTCTTCTTCTATTTCTTTCTTTAATATCTTGTAATTTTCATCATAGAGATCTTTTGACATCTTTGGTTAAATTTATTCCAAGGTACTTGATTGTTTTGTGGCTATTGTGAATGGGATTGATTTTAGAAGTTCTTTCTCAGCCACAGCATTGTCTGCCTATATTAAGGCTGTGGATTTCTGTGCATTGGTTTTGTATCCTGCTGCTTTACACTCATATGAGTTCCAACAGTCTCTTAATGGAGTCCTTTGGGTCCTCTAAATATAGAATCATGTCATCTGCAAATAGGGATAGTTTGACTTCCTCCTTTCCCATTTGTATCTCTTTGATTTCTTTTTCTTTCTTAATAGCTTTGTCTAAAACCACTAAGACTATATTGAATATCAATGGTGAGAGTGGGTACCCCTGTCTGGTGCCAGTTTTCAATGGAAATGCCTCTAACTTTTCCCCATTCAATATAATGCTGGCCATGGGTTTGTCATAAATTGCCTTAATTGTGTTGAGGAATGTTCCTTCTAAACCCAATTTTCTTAGAGTTCTCATTATGAAATGGTGTTGTATTTTGTCAAATGCATTCTCTGCACCTATTGAGATAATCATATGACTTTTGTTTCTCAATTTGTTAATGTAATGTATCACGTTGATTGATTTTTGAATGTTGAACCATCCCGGCATACCAGGGATAAACCCCACTTGTTCTGGGTGAATGGTCTTTCTTTTTTTTTAATTTATTTATTTTTTTGACAGGCAAAGTGGACAGTGAGAGAGAGAGACAGAGAGAAAGGTCTTCCTTTTCCATTGGTTCACCCCCCAATGGCCAGTATGGCCAGCACACTGCACTGATCCAAAGCCAGGAGCTATGCAGTCTCCCATGTGGGTGCAGGGTGTAAAGACTTGGGCCATCCTCCACTGCCTTCCTGGGCCACAGCAGAGAACTGGACTGGAAGAGAGGCAACCAGGACAGAATCTGGTGCCCCAACCGGGACTAGAACCTGGTGTGCTGACGCTGCAGGCAGAGGATTAGCCTATTGAGCCATGGCACCGGCAATCTTTCTGATTTGTAATTGGATTCAGTTGGCCAGGATTTTGTTGATTATTTTTGAGTCTATGTTCATCAGGGAGATAGATCTATATTTTTCTTTCTCTGCTGCATCTTTTCTGGGTTTAGGAAATAAAGTGATATTGGCTTCATAGAAAGAATTTTGGAGAACTCCCTCCCTTTCAATTGTTTTGAATAATTTGAGAAGAACTATGATTAATTGTTCTATAAATGTCTGGTAGAATTCAGCAGTGAAGCTGTCTGGTCCTGGGCTCTATTTTTTCAGTAGCACATTTATTACTGATTCAATTTCTTTCATGGTTATGGGTCTGTTTAGGTTTTCTATGTCTTCATGACTCAATTTATATAACTTGTATGTGTCCAGGAATTTATCCATTTCTTCTAGGTTTCCAAATGTGTTGGCATACAGCTCTTTGTAGTGGTTTCTGATGATTATTTTTATTTCTGTTGTGTCTTTTGTTACATTTCCATAACCATTTTTAATTTTACTGCTTTGAGCCTTTTCTCTCCAATTTTTTGGTTAGTTGGGCCAATCGTGTGTTAATTTTTTTTTTCAAAAAACCAGCTCTTCATTTTGCTGATCTTTTGTATTGTTTTTTTGATTTCAATTGTGTTGATTTCTTCTCTTAGCTTGATAATTTCTTCTCTTCTACTAGATTTGGGTTGGTTTGCTGCTGTTTTTCTAGATCCTTGAGGTGCATAGAGAAATCATTTATTTGGTACCTTTCCAATTTCTTGATTTAGGTACCAGTTGTTATAATCTTTCCTCTTAGCACTGCTTTTGCTGTATCCCACAAATTTTGATAAGCTGCATTGTCATTTTCATTTGTTTCTGTGAATCTTTTGATTTCTCTTTTTGTTTCTTTTATGACTAACTGTTCATTCAGAATCAAATTGTTCATTCTCCATGTGTTTGCCTATGATGAAGAGATTCTTAAGTTGTTGATTTCAAGCTTCATTGTATTGTGCTCTGAAAAGATGCATGGTATAATTTCAAAATTTTTTTTGAATTTGCTGAGGCTCCCTTTATGCCCTGCCTGTGGTCAATCCTAGAGAAAGTTCTGTGCACTGGGAAGAAATATGTGTACTCTGTGGCTGTGGGGCGGAATTCTCTGTAGATATCTACTAGGTCTATTTGATCTTAGTGTCAATTAGCTCTGTTGTTTCCTTGTTGGTTTTCTGTCTGGTTGATCTATCCATTGCTTAAAGTGAGCTATTGAAGTTCCCTGTTACTATTATATTTGAGTCTACATCTCCCTTTAAATCCTTTAATAATATTTTCAAATAGCCAGGTGCCCTGTAATTAGGTGCATATACATTTATAAAAGTAATATATTTGTGTTGGATTGATCCTTTAATCATTACCTAGTATCCTTCTTTGTCTCTTATAATAGCTTTTGTGTTAAAGTCTATTTTGTCTGATATTAGGATGACCACACTGTCTCTTTTTTAGTTTCTGTTAGCTTGGAATATCTTTTTCCATCCTTTCACTTTCAGTCTGTGTGCATCTTTGCTGGTGAGGTGTGATTTCTGAAGGCAACAGATAGATGGGTTTTCTTTTTTAATCCATTCAGCTAGTTTGTGTCTTTTGACTGTAGAGTTGAGACCATTTACATTCAGTGTGACTATTCTTAAATACTGTCTTTTTCCTGCCATGTTTCCTTAAGTAGAGCTGTTTATGTATTTTGGTATTTGTATTTTAGCTGGGTCATTTTCTACATTGGTCTTCTTTTGTAGTAAAGTTCCTGTTTCTGTGTTTCTGCATGAAGCACACCTTTGAGCCAGTGTTGTAGGGCTGGATGCAAAGATACAAATTCTTTCAGTTTCTGTTTGTTGTGAAATATCTTTATTTCCCCTTCATTCATAAATGATAGCTTTGCAGGGTTCAGTGTTCTCTGTTGGCAGTGTTTTTTTAAAACTTGCCTGTAAGGTTTGTGATGAGAAGTCCAGGGTGAGTCTGATTAGATTACCTCTGAATGTGATTTTTCGTTTTCCTCTGACACATTTTTCTCTGTGTTTTTCAAATAAACTCAGCTTATGCACTACATATTATTCTTTGTTTATACACCTAATTCTTTGTGGTCAGGAAACACAAATCTAAGTATTTAGAACTGCAGATTTCTTCAATAAACCCCCCTGACAAGAGTCACATATTATTTTTCTGTTTTTTTTAATATTTATTCTCTTTATTTTTTTATTTGAAATGCAGAGTTACAAAGAAAGGAAAAGGAGGAGAGAGAGATCTTCCATTAACTGGTTTACTTTCCATATGGCCACTACAGGAAGGACTGGGCCAGGCTAAAACCAGGAGCCTGAATCTTTTTCCAACTCTCCCATGCGAGTGCAGAGGTACAAGCACTTAAACCATATTCTTCTGTTTTCCAGGTGCATTAGAATGGAGCTACCTCAGAAATGCAGCTGCTGGGTCTCAAATTGGTGCCCATATGGGAGGACAGCATTGCAGGTGGAGGCCTAACCTGCTATGCCAAAATACTGGTCCCAGTTCTTGCTTTTTCTAAATATTTTGACTCTAAGATAGCTCAGAACTCCTGTTTTAGCTACTTTAAAAGTTACCTGTGGATATAGTATGGAAGAAGAGAGATGATAGGATGTGAAGATGGTTGCAAAAATAATGCCACCATACAGCAAAATGTATTTTTAATTTGTGCACCACTGAGTCAGGAGTAGAATTCTTTCTTTTAAAATTATAACCAAGCAGTATCCCCCAAAACTTTCTATCAGTATAAAAGGAGTCATGCTTCTTTGGGAAATTATGTGATATTGAAATATTTATATAGTTAACATAAGGAAATAATGATTGTAAAAAGTAAAACAAAACTTCAAAGAAGATAGATACTGTTCTGAGGTGTCATATTACATCAAAAAATTTCAATGACTTTTTTTTTTCTGACAGCTTTCTATTGGCATGTTTGAACTATACTTCCTCACCAAAGCCATTTGAAATGAAATCCATTAGGCAAGTTACTCCACCTCTCTTAAATTGTGTAAAGTACCATGGCAATCTTTGCCACCTACAAGGATATACAATATGACCTCTGAATTCTCTCCCAGTAAGTGGTAATGCCTTGATGATAAATATGTTTTCTTCAGCAGAAGAACACTTCTTTTACCTTAGCTTATGTGTAGAGAAATAGGCTTCCTCAAATTTTACAATCTTGTTCTGTATCTGGATCTGCAGCAGGGGAACAAACTGGAGAGAGAACAGTTTTAGTGTATCAGAGTGTGTGCCACCATCACCCTGGAGTTACTGCATCCCCTTATTTGTGCTCACCTTTGTGATTCAGTACTTGTGGAGCAGCTAGTATCACCTCTACATGAAAAATTCACTGGTTCACTCTTCAAATGGACCCAATGGCCAGAGCTGGGCCAGTTTGAATCCAGGATCCAGAAGCTTCTTCATGTTCTCCCATGTGAGTGCAGGTGTCCAAGTATTTGGAATGATTCCACTGCTTTCCCCAGTGCATTGGCAGAGAGTTGCATTGGAAGTGGCACAGCAAGAACTTGAACCAGAACCCATATGGGATTCTGCCATCACAGACAGTGGCTTTAGCCACAATGCTACTGAAAATTATTTTTTAGAGATAGCTCAATCACCATAATTAACTCCACTTTTTCCATGTGATACACACACACACACACACACATAATGTCTTGAACTGTTTTCAATATCATTCTGGCAAATCTGTCCTCCCTGCCTCTTTCATACCTGTTATTAATTTGTTGTCTGACATATAATATCTCTGGCACTGGATTGTCCATTGTTTTCTAGCTTTCTAATTTTGAAGTGCGTAAGAAGTTTTTTAGTTGTCTAACTTGGCATTATCCTAATCTAAAGTGAACATAAAACTTAACATGTAATTCTTGCCCCTTTAAATATCATCATGTGAAGTTGGAGAAAATGTAGTAACCTACAGGCATCAGTGTACTTTTGAGGGCTCCTTTCAATTACTTTCTCTATCTTCATATCTTAATTGCCCATGGATGGTGTCTTCATGACTCCCTGACAGAGGACCTCTCTGATGCTTAGCATAGACTAGATACCATTGTTAAATACATGTTTTAAATGTAAATGGAAAATAACACATTTATTATCTCAGAATATTAACCTCACTTTATAATTATGTTCTCATTTGTGTCAGTATGTGGATTAATACTTCTGAGAACATGTTTGGGATCTAGTAAGGACTCAGTAAGTATTTTCTGGAAATGATATTCTAATCATATAATGAGGGCTATGCCTCTTCCACATGGATTGGACAAGGTAGCTTATAAGTTTGGGGGCCAAAATGAGCAAGAGATAACATAAAAAAGAGATCTCTGACTTGAATAGACCAGTGGTTTCCCAACAACACTGGAGAAATGCCATAATCTGCTATGAATCATGGATAATAAACTCCGGGAGAATGGGATTGGATTGATTACTTTTTCCTTTACTCTTTTCAAATTTCCTTGTAACACAGATATATAGCAATCTAGTTAGTTATGTCAAGTATCTTCTTGGCCTGGAGAATTCAGAAAATGTTAGAGACAAGTGAAGAGACAAAGTAGACCAGTGAGAACTGAAGCAACACAGAGGGAATTGTGAGATGGTAAGCAGAGATTGGGAGCAGCAGAATAGAGAGATCATACAAGGCTGGCACCACGGCTCAATAGGCTAATCCTCCTCCTGTGGCGCCAGCACACTGGGTTCTAGTCCCGGTCAGGGCACCGGATTCTGTCCCGGTTGCCCCTCTTCCAGGCCAGCTCTCTGCTGTGGCCCAGGAGTGCAGTGGAGGATGGCGCAAGTGCTCGGGCCCTGCACCCCATGGGAGACCAGGAGAAGCACCTGGCTCCTGCCTTCGGATCAGTGTGGTGCACCGACTGCGGCGGCCATTGGAGGGTGAACCAACTGCAAAAGGAAGACCTTTCTCTCTGTCTCTCTCTCACTGTCTACTCTGCCTGTCAAAAAAATAAAAAATAAAAATTAAAAAAAGAGATCATACAGGAGAAGCAGGAGGAGAAACTCATAAATACCTGAGAGGTGCTGAGTTGTCAATAGTCAGGCCATATCGGACCCATGGAGTATTTTATTTGGTTACTAAAAGGAAAGTATTATCCCAGATTATAAAACTCTGGATAAACACATTACACAGTAGCCTGAGAACAATATGCTCAGGAGTGTTATTCCATTATCAGGATCATTATGAGTACAGAGATAACTGCATCAAACTCTCTTCCCATGATGCCACTAAATATTCAAATCACTTAGCAGTTTCCCTTGATCTGACTTTGGCCTCTCTCAGCAAGCTTATGATCATATTGGGATTTGCACATAGGACTATTTATGGCAGTTCACTTCTTTCTGTGAATTATCAGATTGATGTTCTGAATTTATTCATCAAACTCATTCATGCATGCGTCTTTGATTAAACCACTCTCCATTTGTTTCTGGAAACAGTTTCCAAAACCGAGGAGGTGAACTGCTGCCCTTGATGTAGCAAGCCATGCTCTGAGTCCTGAGTGGGGCTTTCTCCATCATCTCCTCTTTCCTACTTGAGTGTTTTTTCTGTTCCTCCACACCTTACACACATAGATTTGTGTTATAGGAAACATTCATTATGAAGAGAAGTATAAACATGGTCTCTTGTTATTGTTTACAATTTATCTAAGAAGAAGAAATGTCACACGAGATCGGGTGCGTTCAGGGTGGTATGGCCGTAGAAAAGTGATCCCTGTTAGGAATTTGGAAAACATTATGCTGAGTGAAATAAGCCAATCCCAAAGGGACAAATACCACATGTTTTCCCTGATAGGTGACAACTAACTGAGCACCAAAAAGGAAACCTGTTAAAGTGAAATGAACACTATGAGAAATGGTGACTTGATCAGCGCTCACCCTGACTGTTGATGGACAACTTAATATGTTATCCCTCTTAGTATTTTTTTTTGTTCTACTTAATACTTTTGGTTGAATACTGTAATCAATACACAATTCTTCTTAATTGCTGAAACTTAACTGAAAAGTGATTGCTGTTAAATATAAGAGTGGGAATAAGAGAGGGAAGAGATGTGCAATTTGGGACATGCTCAAGCTGACTTACCTCAAACGGTAGAGTTAGAAACATACCAGGGGATTCCAATTCAATCCCATCAAGGTGGCATGTACCAATGCCATCTCACTAGTCCCAGTGATCAATTTCTGTTCACAATTGATCATAATGATAGGACTAAGAACCAAAGGGATCACATAAACAAGAATAGTGTCTGCAAATACTAGCTGATAGAATAAAAAAGGGAGAGAACGATCCAACATGGGAAGTGAGATACACAGGAGACCCATAGAATGGTGGATGTCCTAAACAGCACTCTGGCCTCAGAATCAGCCATTAAGGCATGCGGATCTGGCTGAAAAGCCCATGAAAGTATTTCAGGCATGGAAGGCCAAGACACTCTGGGGGAAAAAAAAAAAAAAACCTAAATGAAAGATCTCCGCGAGTGAGATCCCAGTGGAAAGAATGGGTCATCAAAGGAGGTACCTTTCTCTGAAGGGAGGAGAGAACTTCCACTTTGACCATGGCCTTGTCTAAATATGATCAGAGTTGGTAAACCCAGGGGGCTTCCATAGCCTTGGCAGCTCATGACAAGAGCCTAGGGTGATTACTGATGCCATAAACAAGAGTGTCAATTTGTTAAGTCAACAACAGGAGTCGCTGTGCACTTACTCCTCATGTAGGATCTCTGTCCTTAGTGTGCTGTACATTGAAATTTAATGCTACAACTAGTACTCAAACAGTATTTTTCACTTTATGTTTCTGTGTGGGAGCAAACTGTTGAAATCCTTACTTAATGTATACTAAGCTGATCTTCTGTATATAAAGAGCATCGAAAATGAATCTTGATGTGAATGGAAGGGGAGAGGGAGTGAGAAAGGGGAGGGTTGTCAGTGGGAGGGACGTTATGGGTGGGGAAGCCATTGTAATCCATAATCTGTACTTTGGAAATTTATATTCATTAAATAAAAGTTAAAAAAAAAGAAGAAGAAATGCCTTCACCAAACCTTTAAAATATTTAATGACTCAAAAATTGGTACTAAGATAAATAAGAAAGAAAATAATTGCTGAAATAAAATTAAATAATAAAATAACTATATTTTGTATTCAAAAATTTATGTCAATTCTAGCTAGACAAGCACAAAAGCTGTGTGGAGTAGGTGAGCATTAAATTAAACTTAAAGGATCATAGAGATTTCAGTTAAATGACGTTTTGGGAGGACAGAGCAACAAGGTGAACGAGAACTTGGTGTATTCTGGCCCTGAAAATAAAACAAGACCCTTTGATATATCAATATCATCATTTTAATCAACAATACTTCACCACAGGACCACTTCGACTCATATTATCACATTCTTGATTCAATCAAGAGTTATCATAGCTTGACCACTTTACAGTTTAGTGTCAGTTCTTAGGCATGGAATGCCCTCAAGATTCCCAAGAGGGGCCCACCTCTCATGAAATCCAACCTGTAAGCTCCATGGGGAGCTGTTCGTTCTGCTGTGTTCATCCCCATGGACAGTGTCTGGCACAGATTTTGATAAATGTTGAATGAACAAGTAAACACAGGCTTTACAGGATCTAATTTGGACTTTTGAAGTTGTCTCCAAATAAGTTAATATAGATAAGCATCATAAAAATTTAAGCTTTTATTCCATCATTGAACTGCATCTATACATTTTTCCCCCAAAATATTCTATTTTGTGACTAGCATAACTGTACTAAATTACAATTTTTGGTGTTAAATGTGTTATGAACAGATGTATTAAAATATATTCAAAGCAAGCATTTGTCACAGTGGTTAAGATGCTCCATGGGATACCTGAATCTTATATCAGCATGCTTGAGTTTGAGTCTTGGCTCTGCTCTAGATTCTGGCTTTCTGCTAAGGTGCTCCTGAGAAGCAGAAAGTGATTCCTTCAGTTTTTAGGTTCCTGATACACATGTGGGAGACCTGGATTGAGCTGCTGCCTCTTGGCTTCATCCTAGTCAGCCTTAGCTATTGTAGGCATTTGGGGAGTGAACCAGCAGTTAGATGAACTCTCTTTAACTAACTTCATCTTTCACTCTTTCTTTGAAATAAAATAAACAAAAATGTTAAAGAAATCATTGGAATTTTTACAATTCTTTTTAAAGTATCTTTAAAATAATTTTTAAATACACTATGAACCTCAGATAAACAGTTTGGAAATGGTATTGACTGGGGGATGTAAACTGGCTTGAGTTACCCCACTCTAAGAAGTGCTTCAAAATGTTCATGGGAAAAAATTAAAAAGTGAGTTCATCTTACTTCATGAATTCTTTTGAAATCCTTGCTTATGAAAGGATTTCAAAAAGTTCCTGGATGGCTTGCGGTGAAAATAACTATGCATAGATTTATATTTTTCTTGTAACAAAATTAACTTATCTTTAAATTTCAGTTTTTCAAAGGCATTTTGAAGGACACTTGTATATATTCAACAAATAGATTGTTCCAGGTGATTAGTTAAGGAAATTTGAAAACAGTCATTTGCTTCTAGCCTCCCCCCATATATATGTGTGTATGAATGTATGTGCATGTGTGTATGTGTGTAGATTTTTTTCATTTATTTGAAAGGCACAGTTAGAGGGAGCAAGAGAGAAAGAGAGTGAGAGAGTGTGTATGTTTGTGAGTGTGAGAGAGGTATCTTCCATCCATTCGTTCACTCCCCAAATGACTGTGATGGCCAGAGATAGATCATTCTGAAGCCAGGAGTCAGGAGATTCTTTTGGATCTCCTATGCAGATGCAAGAGCCCAAGAATTTGGGCAATCTTCCACTGCTTTCCAAGGCAAATTAGCAAAGAGCTGGACAGGGAGCAGAGCAGGTGGGACTCCAGCAGGCACTCATAGGGGATTCCAGCCCTGGAGGCAGTAGCTTTAACCACTATGCCTCAGTGCCAGCCCCTTCTAATTATTTTTCATTATTGACATTTTCTTTTCAAGTAAGAATTTATAGATTTTGTCTTAAAGGACATTTAAGGGAAAGCCCAACTTCAGTGAACTAAAGGAGAATTTTATGTCATTTCCAGCCCAACCGTCTATGACTCACTGATTGCTATGTATAACACAAGGAGCTCATAGCACAAGATGCAATTCAAATAGTTTAGCAGTACAGAGCATAAGACCTGGGTTCATTTAAATATGCCAGCTGTGTTGTTGACTAATGTATGATGTCTAGGACACACCTAACCTCTCCACAACCCAGTTTCCTCATCTCAGCAGTAGACAAGATAATGGTCCTTTCTCAGGGTTAGTGTGAATTTAAGGGTGATTTCTGGGCCTGGTACTGTGGCATAGTGAGTATTGCCAGCATTCCATATGGGCACCAGTTTGATTCTCAGCTGCCCCACTTTTGACCCAGCTCCCTGCTGATGTGCCTGGGAAGGCTGCAGAGGATGGCCCAATTACTTGGGCTTGGGCATCCATGTGGGAGACCAGGAAGAAGCTCATGTCTCCTGGATTTAGGCTGACCTATCCTTGGCCATTGCACCCACTTG